TCCAAATAAAGACAAGTGAAACAGCTTTAAGTTGATACAAATAACTCTACATGCCCAAAAATTGACCAGAGCCTGGTTCCACCACGCTGCCTCACATATTAAAAAACAAGCTCTAGCCTTACCAGACCGTGTCTAGTTAGGAAACAGTATCTGGTTCTCCGCGGGTTGCTGGCCACTCGGACCTGGGAAAAACTGGAGAGGAGAAAGGATCGTTATAATACATGTACAGGATGTGTTTATCCGTTGATTTATTGATTTATTCATTTATTCATTTATTATACAGACTCAGGATGGTTAAAAAGTAAGGTACAAAGAAAAATTAGTGGACCCATTTTTGGCATCAATTTCAACAAAACTTCGAACAAATACAATTTTTATTCAACCACCAAGTGGACAACCAGCTTGTCAATTTGAAAGGAATCAATCTCCATGTTTGAGTTTAATTATTTTTAAAAATGTTTTAGATCAATCAAAATTCATAACAAAACACAACAAACAGAAAACATCACCCCCACCCCCTCGAAAATCAACGACAAAAGAACAAACATTCAAACAAACTAACAAACAAACAATACCCTCCCAAAACAGCAAACAAATAAACAAAACAAAAACAAAACCCAGTCTAATCCGATATATATAATACTGTCTCCGCGGTTTTATGCAAATATAAAAAAAATAATTTTTTTTTAATTTATGCAAACTGAGCCCAAAAAATGTGAAATTATGCGACTCTGTTAATCTTAACAAAGAATGATGAAGGAAAATAATCAGAAATTATGCACCAAAAAAAAAAAAAGATCAAATTTTGCTAAGTTTTGCGGGGTGCAGAAAACCACGGGGACAGATAGAATGTGAGGCAGCGTGGTGGAATCAGGCTCTCGTCAAAATAATTCAATCAAAGATATTGGCATTTTTCTCCCCGTTTGGCAAATTTTATCAAATTTTTGTTTTTTAACTCAACAGCTTTTATGTCCATTTAAAAACACATATCTGTTTTTATTGTCCTGAAAAACGTTGATTAAAGGTACAAAAAAACGTGAATTTTCAGTTTTCAAGGACTTTCACGCATTCAAAGATACCAAGCTTTGACGGCCATTTTCTCCCTTATTTTTCCTCTGAAATCAGGTTACCCTACTCACTTCAATCACAAATATTTTTCGACTTCTATTAAAGATAGATGGGTACTTTTTTTCACCGAAAGATAGACAAATGAACAGACTTTTAAGGTGATACCAATAACTCCATATTATGGCCAAAAATTGACGAGTGCCTGATTCCACCACGCTGCATCACATATACATGATATAAATATATAATATTAGAAGCACTGACCGCGCAGAATTCCACACATCCGTTCCTGATGATTCCTTGTGGGTCCGCGCAAATGTCGGGGCGACACACGAACTGTTCCTCCACTTCAGAGCTCTCTGACTCCTCCACGATCTCCTCTTCCTCCTCCCCCTCCCCCTTCTCCTCGTCCTCTGTCTCCTCCTCCTCCTCCTCCCGCTCCTCTGTCTGTCCATCCATCTGTTTGTCTGTCTCTGAGACTGGGTTAGTGTCTTCCATCTGCTTGTCGTCGACTGTCTCCACTAAGGTTGCCGGTTCGTTTGCCACTGGTGGAGAATTCAGTTATACAAGGGGTGACAAAGGGAGAGGGGTGGAGGTGTTGTCTCTTTCTTTCTTTCTTTCTTTCTTTCTTTCTTTCTTTCTTTCTTTCTTTCTTTCT